CAGCCAGCTGGCTGGGGAATTCTGGGAGTTGAAGTCCACCCGTCTTCCAGTAGCCAAGGTTGAGAAGCGCTGTGTTAGAGGACCAGTTTGTCCTCTTGCTCCAGGGTGGGACCACTCAGGGGATTCACACAAGCTTGTCTTCTCTTGCTTTTCCCGCAGGGTCTCGGCTCCTGTGCTGAGATGATACCTCCGTGCTCCTCGCGCCTGCACCGCCATGGACGCCCCCTCTAACTCTGCCTCCTCCTCCTCCTCCTCCTCCCACTCCTCCGCTGCTGTCCCCCCGGCAGACGGACAGGATGACAGGGCCGCGGTTCGGCCTGCTCAGGGCTCTCCTGCCTTGCCACCCACCAAAGAACCCCCCCTCTGGGACCCTTCCCCTTCCCTGCTTCCCGACGACGTCATGAGACCCTGCTCCAGTTCCCAAGCCGAGCTCGGTTCGGTCAAGTTCCCCACAGCCATCTCGTCTACCCCACAGCTCCAAGCGGACCGTGGCCCAGCATTGCCAAATCTACCCCCTTTCCCTCCAGGAACGCCCCTGGCCGAAGATGGGGCCAAGCCAGAAGCAGAAGAACATGGAGAAGAGGACGAGGATGGTGGAAACGAGGCCCAGCTCTTCTTTGCTGCTGACGGCTCGGCCTACCTCCTCACTAGTGCCCACCTACGCTTACCAAAGGGCTCCCCCGTCACCGCAGCTCCCCAAGTGTCCATCCTCCACATCCAGTGCAGTGGAGGTCCTAACCAAGGCTTTATGTCTACTGACCAAATGTCCCAGAATACCTCAGCGCCAGGCGAGTTGACTCCTCAAGGCGCCTTCTACAGTTACCGACTGGCCGGGGCCCCCGCTCAATCTGCATCTGCCAAAAACACTACCCTCAAATCCAAAGATGCCCCCACCGCCCACGTGGAGGACGAGGAACACTCCCAAGGAGAAGCCACCCTTGGCCGAGACAAGGAGCTGCCAGGGGCTCCCCTTTGGCTCTGCCTAGCCTGCCGCCTCTCTTTCCGCCAGGGCCGCTCCTTGGCGTCTCATGCCTGTACGGTCCACGGCGTGCAGCTCAGCAACCACAAATGCCAAGCCCTGGATGGAGGGGCTTCTGCTGTGTTCCAGGGTACCGACCTTGGCTTCCTAGAACCAAATAACCCCACCACCCAGGCAGACCTCAATGCCAGAATGTGTAGCAGATGGGTGAATGTAAAGGAAGAGGAGGAGGAGGAGGAGGAGGAAGAAGAGGAGGAGGAGAACCAGAAGAGGAGCCCAGAACGACGATGCGAGCCACCAGATACCAAAGATTCAAGGGTCGGCGGCACGCACTGGGCAAAGGGGGGCATGGAGGAGAAACCAGAGGAGGAGGAGGAAGAGGAGGAGGAGGAGGAAGAGGAGGAGGCACGAATGGATGACCATAAGAAAGAGGAGGAACGACGTCCAAACCAAAGCTCACTCGGTTCACAAAGCCCACCCTTGGCTGCTAACACCCCTCCCTCAGAGACACCGCTGACCAAGGCCAAAAGTTTTGACCACGCTGGGTTGCCCGAGGAGGACATCAACAAGGAGCTGACCAACGAGGTCGTTAAGGAAGGACTGATGCACAAGGTCCCTTGTGTGGACCTGGCTGTTGAAACTGGCAGCGCCGAGCCCGCTCCCAAAGGGCACAGCAACAGCGTTCCCCATGACGCAGACGGGATGGGCGTTGGGCTGGCCCACGACATCAGCACCACCGACTTGGCCGACAGCATGAGCAGCGTGGGGATGGCCAATGAAGTGGCCGCCGCTGGATTTGAGGTCAACAACGGGCTCGGTAGCAACAGCCACAACGGAGGGCCCTCGCTGGCCTTCGGGGAAGATTTCACAGCTATGGCCTACTCTGGGTTGACCTTGTCTGGCCACATGTCCTTGCTTCATTCGCGGAACTCCTGTAAGACTCTCAAGTGTCCCAAATGCAACTGGCATTATAAGTACCAGCAAACCCTGGATGTCCACATGAAGGAGAAGCATCCGGAGAACAACAGCCACTGCGCCTACTGCAGCACGGGGGGTCCCCACCCTCGCCTGGCCCGAGGGGAGAGCTACAACTGTGGCTATAAGCCCTATCGCTGCGAGGCCTGCAACTACTCCACCACCACCAAGGGCAATCTGAGCATCCACATGCAGTCTGACAAACACTTGGCCAACCTGCAGGGCTACCAAGCCACGGGAGGCAGCGGGCCCCCGGTGGCTCCTCCCGTAGCGCCTTCCCCGTCCTCCCCCGAGGAGAAGGAGTCAAAAGGCAAGTCCTCTTGGCAGTGCAAGGTGTGCAGCTATGAGACCAACATCTCCCGCAACTTGCGGATCCACATGACCTCTGAGAAGCACATGCAGAACATGCTGTTGCTCCATCAAGGGCTGCCTTTGGCGCTGCCTGGGCTGCTGGGGCAACCTCAGCCCCCCGCTGGAGGCAAGGCTCAGCCAGAGCTCTTCCCCTTCTACGGGGCACAGGCTCTCAGCCATTCCCACCACCCACATCCCCACCAGGCACACTCGGGGAGCAACCCAGGTCTGCGGGCAGACAAGCCCATGGAACAACCCCAACTCTTGCTCAACGGAGGCTTCCAGCACCTCAGTGCGGCCGGCAGGAAGATGGCTACCTTGGGGTCAGGTAAGAAAGACCTTTACCCCGTTGCTTGATCCGCCACCACTCTTGGTGTCCAGGTGGACCTCAAGGTTGACTGTGCTCCTGGAACTATTGCACTTCATCCATCCATGCCTCCACCTTTCCTTCAAGGTCTCCCCTGGCTTCTTGGTTTCGCTCCCCCACTTGCTGCTTTCCTGATGTTTTTTTCTACCCGTTTCTCTGCTCCCATGTCCACGTCCATCTTGTCCATTCACGGTTGTGTGTTAAAATCCAAGTGTCTTTCCAGTGTTGTGGTACCAACCTTAGCTCTTCTGCTACTTTCCTTTCTCTTTCCCCATGCCCCTCATTCCTCTAGAGCAGGGTTCCTCAACCTTGGCAACTTTAAGATGTGTGGACTTCAACTCCCAGAATTCCCCAGCCAGGAAGGGTTGAAGTCCACACATCTTAAAGTTGCCAAGGTTGAGAAACCCTGCTCTAGAGGTACCCATTAATTCACATGCTCACTTCATCTTTCTCTCTGCAGCACCCACCTCTCTCTCTCCTGAACCTGCTCCACCTTCCCCGTCGCCGGCCCAATCTGGACCTGACCTGTTGGCCCCCCAGAGATTGTTCAGCTGCCTGGTGTGCCAAGCGTTCAGCACCGACAGCCTGGACGCCCTCCTGCGGCATGCCTCAGCCCCACGCTCCCTGCCCGAGGCGGAGTGGAAGGAAGTGTCGGGCGACCTGCACCGGTGCCGTCTCTGCGCCTACGGCACCCAGTTGAAGGCCAACTTCCAGCTGCACCTCAAGACCGACAAGCACGCCTTGAAATACCAGCTGGCCGCTCACCTGCGGGAAGGGGGCAGCCTTGGAGCACACTTGGGGGTGGAGCTCCCCCTGGGCCCACCCCTTCACCTGCATTGCAACCTCTGTGAATATGAGACCAACAGCAAGGAAAAAATTCAGCTGCACGTGGCCGGCGCAGGTCACCAGGAAGCCCTGCAAGGTTATAAGGTACCAAGTGGGGGGAAGGACAGCAGGAAAGGGGGCAGACAGGCTTAAGAGTAACCATCACTGCAAGCATTACTGGAAAGGGGTGCCGCAAACCTACTCAAAGGACACTCCTTAGGTTGAACTTGATCAGAGAGGGGTAGCGAGGAAGGATCACGGGTAGGCTTAAGTATAAAAGGGGAATGGAGAAAGGCATGGGGGGAAAAGCAGGGCCCAATCGGAGAGCCGACTGGTGTCCTCCTCCCTTCTTAGAACCTGCAATTTCCATTCCCACTTCTCTCCTAGTTTCTCCTGGAAATGGAGTCAGCCTCGGCACCCCCACCCGTCTCCGAATCCGCGCAGTTCCGCTGCCTCCTGTGCAACGTGGACTCGCCGAACCGCCTGGCCATGATCCAGCACCTCCGGTCCCCCCAGCACCGCGAGGCCCACGGGCAGTGGCGCCTCCAGCTTCTCCAGAACGGCGAAGGCACTTTGGGTCTCGAAAGATACATCTGCTTTGCGCCTGCAAACGCTGCCGGTAACAACCGCACCACTTGGGCGCGGCCGGCGGTAGCTCACGTGTGGGGTGGCGCCGCGGACCGCAGATGGGCGTTGGGTACCAAGGGGGGCCAGGGAGGGGAAGAGGCGGCCTTGGGGGAAATCGAGGGGTGGGGGGCTCCGGGAAAGGACCCGCAGACGCGCCTCGAAGAGGTCTGCAGAAGGGCACACGTTCTGTTCATTCCTGGGGGGTGGCAGCTGAGATCCAAAAGGGGTAGCAAAAATTGCGCCATGTCTTCAGCCTTGGCTCCCGCTCTGCTCAGGGTTTAACTCCATCCCTCTTTCTGGGGATGTCGGAGGGCAGAGCAGCTGAGCGTACGTTCCTTCCTCCTCTCCTCCAGCCACCGTCAATCTCTTTCTCTCTGTGCCCCCCCAGCTTCATAATGGATTATGACAGATACTGGGGGAGGTTGCCTAGCAACCTGCAGGAAGAATGAAGGAGACGAGAAATGAGACAGATATGTAGGGACCACAGCCGGGGAAGCAGGGGAGAAATGGGAGGGGGGAAGATATATATATATTTCTCCCTCCCCTAGCTGAGGCTGCCCACCCCACCTTCCCCCTCCCATGTCAGGGAACCCTATCCAAGCGGTGACAATTGGCTGCCTTCCCGGCTCCAATTTATCTGTTGCAATCCACCTGACCTTGCGTCCTTACCTGGGAGCAGAAGTCAACAGGGATCAGCAGGACAGGATAAAAATATAGGGAGGGCGTGCACATGTGCACGGATGATTGAAAGCGGAGGGATGGGTCAGGGCCGAGGGCAGCGAAAGGGCAAATCGGGTGGCTGGATAATTCACCTTTCGGAGAAGAGATCCTGCAGTCCAGGGGGGGCCCGGAGAAGGCAATGCTGGGGAACCCTGGCTAAGACAAGATTTGCGGGGTCAAAGTGAGGACCTGGGGGCACAGGAAAGCCGCAGGTGTTGCGAGGGGGACACACACCTAGTCAGTGAGAAATGAGGGTCTTAGCGTCTTGGCGGGTGTATTGAACAGCGTTAATTGAGTTGCCGATGGTAGCGAGGCTGCAGCTATCGGCCAGGGAGGCGAGCCCGCTCAATATTAACGATCTCACTTGGGTTGAGAGTTTAATTAGTCTCTGACGGGGATAAAGTCCTGGATCGTGCGTCATTCAGATTTTCACAGCGTTGATGGTGGAATTCCCTCTGTCTCTTTTTTTCCCCCTTCCACCTTTTTCGGCATTCTTTTGGGTTGCTCGTCTTCCAGACCCCTGGATGAAAGAGGACAAGAAATGTTAGCCTACACCAGTGTTTCTCAATCTTGGCCGCCTGAAGATGGGGGGGCTTTAAATCCCCAAAATTCCCCACCCACCATGCTTGGGTGGGGGATTTTTGGGGTTTAATTTTTATCTTTTTTAAAAGAC